CSGGMWAYYKCSMRKATCGATAAACTAATTTTTTCTGATATTCGCTCTACGTGAAAGATGGTAATTAAGCTGTGGGAAATTCACCTTGATGATATTTAACAAATTAGCTCTGGAGTAATTGTTCTTGACTATTTAAATCTTAGCGGCTAATGTAATTTATTTTACTTTCTTTCTTTTTTTTTTTTTTTTCAGAATTTAAGGGTAAAGAATTACTTAGACGGTGACTGGATAAGCGAGGAAGATTTAGCCAAAGGTATCTGCCCTAAATTTCCATTGCAAGTGTTGTTCAATGAACAATATACGAACAATCCGTGTTTACGATCACAATTTCGGTCTTAGAATTAAGTCCAGTAATTGGTTACGCGATGTGGGCCATCCCTGTGAAAAGATACGTTCCCTTTTGTCTTCCCTAATGTGAAAGTAGGTCGGTCGGTCGAGCAAGAAGAGATTGCCTGCCGGGCGAGGAAGCCATAATCCAGGACAAGCCTGGATACTAAGGAAAAATGCATGGTTACCCATGCACTTTCACACACGAATGATTTCCTCAGTTATTAACGCAAATCTGTTTCATTTCCAGAACTTTTGGAATACACGGATGATCGACATCCTTTTGAGACAATGGAGGAAAGACTGACTGATATCAGGTGATTGGAAAAAGCTGAGAACTACAAGTATCTTCTTGTGATTGTACTGTAGCACGTTTGTAATTCGGATGTTTACGATAGGCCTGAGAATGAGAAAGCCGAGCGTACCTGGCTGAGAAAGAGGATCCAAGAGTCTTCCCTTTGAAGACCTTTACTGTACCTTTTTGGGACTAATGTTCGAAAATGATGCAGTGATCAACGCAGAAGCTTTTGATCTAACTATCAACTCATTTTTTCCATCCTTCTAGGGAGATTATGAGAAAAGTTTTCAGGAAAGGGAAAGATAAAGAAGCTTAGATGGTCGCGGAAGAAGGACAGATTCTTTTTTTGTAAGTAATGTGTCTGTTTGGAGAAGTTTGTAAAGTTTTTGTTTCTCCTAAATTTCTCTGTCCCACTCCTTCAAATTCAAAAAGGGGGAAACTGTAAAATATTACATTTCAGTCTTTCATTTCGTTTTATTTTCTCTTGCTTTATAGTGCTCGTACAGAAGAACTCAGTGCTGGGATCAAAAACTAATCCTCTGCGGATGCGCCCTGTTCCAAGTGCTTGTGGACAAAGTAACATCTTTGTTTTCCATCTGCATCAACTAAGGATACAAAAAACGCAATCATATTTTGAACGTATGATAACAGTCACTTAAAAAGTACACGTACCCTACGAAATTTTGAAATTGACACCGAAACCGTTGGACGGTGGGCATTTAGGAGCTTCTTTGACGGTTGACGATAAAAAAAAATTCGTTCTTTGTAAGAGGGTCTCATGGGGTGATGCTCTTACGGCTAACGGTTAAAACTTTGGCTATTTCACGACTAGCGGTTAATTTTTCCGTTGCGATTTAAGGAAAAAAAGTACGGTTAATATTTTTACGACTAATGGTTAAATTTTGTAATTTTTTTACGCCCAACAGAAAATTTTTTTGCCGCTTTACGGCTAATAGTTAACCCGTTCGAACTTTACAGTGGAGGCAAGGACTAAAGTGGCGTAAATTATAGTGTAGCTTTGAAGAAAGACAATCAGGCCGTGTAGTGTAACGATTTTGTAAAACCTGCTTCATATCCCATGGAGTAATGAACTGGGAAAGAAAGTTCCATATTCTGATTTGAAAGTAAAGTAAGAAGTTGGTTAGTAATTTTCTGTGACTCAAGAACAACTTGACCCTCCTTGTGGGCAAGAATACCTCAATGTAGTAAATGTAATGGTGTCGTGAGTTTCATGCATTAAAAGAAATTAGTCGAAGCCTTGTGATCAGGTTAGTGACCAGGTTTCTCTCAGTGAAATGCCCCAACCTTAAACAAAGAAAGAGAAAAGAAAAAGACAACAAAAAGAAAAGGGAAGCGGGAGAAACAGAGTTTTGTATCCCGTCAGCCCCTAAGCAGACGGTCGAGGCGAGGCAGGGGAGGGTGAGTGGGTTGGGAGACGTTCTCCCTTCCTTGCTGGATGAACAGTTTCTATTCCCAACTCGACGCAGCCCACTCGATTGGTGTGGCACGTATCCAAATTAACTGCACTCTCTTCGAAAGAAAACAATTTTTCAATACGACCAAAACTAAAAGTTCTTCACTCTTTTTTTAACACGAAATATCAGGAAACCAAAGCTCCAGCTGGAACCCATATTGCGATCAATTTCCATAAGCCCCAGTCTCCTGCCTACTTTGACGACCGCGGAATTCATTGTTTTTAATTGCGTGCGTGTATTGCATGAGGTGATATTTCAGCCTGACTGGTTGAACGAAGGCAGATGATGTATGTCGCAATATAGGCTACCAGACGCCGCTCGGTATTAAATCTCAGAACTTTGCAAGAAATTTCTCAGTCGAGTTCGACTCCTCGCGCGAGTTCGTCTCTCGATTCGCTAATCACAAGATGAAATCTTTGTTTTTCTTCGCTTTACTCTTCTCGCTTCAAGGCCATTCAAAAGGTAAGTACTTCAACTTGACAAAATTGCTTAAAAGCCTCAAAATGTCCATCTTATTTCGCCAAGTAAGCGTAATTTATTATTTACAAAAGACGTCCGGTGAATCTGCGGGCAGAATCGTTGCGAATAATTTTCGGTGTATCCAACAAATTCTACATTATTAGCTTTATTTACGTTTCAAAACTTTGTTGAAAGTTTCCCTAAAGTCTCAATATTGTGAAATTTTCTCACAGATCCGATAGTAAGGTGTTAATTTGACAGTTGCACTGCTCAGGAATTATAGTTATGAAATGAAATCACTGCTAGATATTGCGACATTACCATATCGTTCAAGTTTCCGTTCCTCTCCGCTTCAGCGGCTCAATCAATAACAAACAGTCTTCCCTCAACATTTGGCTTCCTCTTAAGCTGTTTAGAGACCATCATCAGCCATGAAACAGAAATACAGGATATCATTGCCAAAACGAAAAAACCTTGACTTAATTATTGATTACGATCTGAATCATTATGTGTTTAGGATGCCCATTTTTTAGCCAAGGAAAGTGAAAGGAATTTATAAACAAAGATTTACCCTGCACCCGTTTGAATATAAAAGATTACTCTGATATTTACATATTACTCTCTCTCTCACTGCACGATCAACTATTTATCGTCAAACAATTAGGTTTGTGTGTCTCGGATAGGATCGAGTATTTTAAATTTCCATGTTGTGACGCATTCACACTAGCAAAACATGTGTAGTTTGACCAGTTCTAAAAGTCAATTGCGGAAAACTGAAAGGCTGATATTTTTTTTCGTTTTGTTAAATTTGAAGTCGACAAACATCAGTTTAAGGAGCTTCTATGGAGAAAACAATTTCAACCGTGTTTAATTAACAAAACATCTTTAAAACGTGTTTTAGCTTTGGTATGAATGGGGTTTTAAATATTAACGTTTCCTTGCCTTTAATTTCTTCCTTTTGTGACGGTGTGTTTTTTACATCCTGACCAAGTGCCCGAACGCAAACTAAATCAATTTTCCTCTTTTTTATTTACACCTTTACAAAGCCACGAAAGTCTGCTATGGTAAATATGGCTGCTTCTCGAACGACCCTCCATTTGACAAGTCCATGATATTATTACCCTCTGATCCCGATTCGATCGGTACTAGATTTCTTCTGCATACCAGAACGAACACACAAAAGAACGTAGTAGAAATCCTCAACACAGACAACAACGCCTCAATCGTTAACTCTACGTTTGACCCCTTGCTCAAAGTGAAGTTTATCGTGCATGGATATACTCAGAATGGGGAGAGCGCCTGGGTTAAAGAGATGGCAGTGGAACTTTTGAAGAAGGAAAAGATGAATGTGATTGTGGTCGATTGGGGACTAGGGTCTAGTGTCCTGAATCTTTATGACGTCGCGGCCGGAAACACACGGCTTGTTGGAGCGCAGGTGGCTGAATTAATAGACGTATTGCACCGGAAGTTCCATGTGCCGTTGACCAAGTTTCATATCATTGGACACAGTCTGGGCGCACAAACAGCGGGCTTTGCCGGCGAAAGACTGGTAAAGAGCGGGAAAGTTATTGGACGAATTACAGGTAATACGATTTTCTCTATCAAAGAGAAAAGATACCGGCTGCTTAAAAGGATTAATGTACATCAGGTTAACAATTCTTTCTCAAGCTTGGTATCATTTATGTTATAATTCTGAATATTTATCTGTTATTAAAATACCGCAGGTCTGGATCCTGCGAGACCTGGGTTTGACTTCGATGACGGGCGAACTAGACTGGACCCGACCGACGCACTGTTTGTTGACGTCATCCACAGTGACGTAAAGAATGGTGCAATCGATAGCTCTTTGGGACTCCAGCGACCCTGTGGTCACGTGGATTACTACCCTAAGGGCGGAAAAGAACAACCTGGATGTGCAACTTCTCACGTCGTTGGAGGTCTTCAATCCTCTTCTTCATTTTATCCTCTTTACAGCCACTATCATTACTTAATTCCGTAATATTTAATTGAACAAAATATACTGTATTTCGATTGCTTCAGTTGACAATTTTTTTTAACAACAGCTTCGTTTAATACCTGTTCAGGTGCTGTCAATTCCTTTTTGGACCACGGTCAAGTCTCTTTGCCTTGGATGATAGCCTGCAATCACATGAAGTCAGTGGCCTATTTCATTGCCTCAATCCATAGCTCATGCGCGATGAAAGCTTTCCCATGTGGCAACTGGGAGGATTTTCAAGATGGAAAGTGTTTCTTATGCCATGGCAAATGTTCTCAAATGGGATACAATGCTGACCAATATCGCGGGAGCAGGCCTGTGCTAGCGTTTTTGAAAACAGTTAAGCAGGAACCTTTCTGCGGTATGGTATGAGTTTAGGTTAAAAACTGTACATGACCTTTATGGTTTTCTTAACGAGGCAAGGTTTCAAACTTTCATTCAATGTTGTGTTTTGTTTTCCAGTATTTGGTTTTTTGGACTCTTTTCCATGCTTTTGTTTCTGCATGTATCTAACGCTAACTCTTTCTCAAGCAAGGGCACCGGCTGTTAGGGCAGGAAAAAGTATTCGCCCAGAGGGGTTTGTCACTCACCGGAAAAAATAGGTCCTCAATACGAAAATGTGTTGCTCATGAATTAAATTTCTAGCACAGAATTACCTAAGGTGCTCTAAAATTTAAAAATAAGTAGTAATGCCAAAATACTTGGTATGATATTTGTATCTCAAAAAAACTTGAAGAGAAAGATATACTCAGAAGTTTGCCCCTAATATTAAAGATTGGATTAAATTGTTATCAAGGCAGAATCGGTTGATGTTTTGTTTTCCTCTTGAATGAGTTGTTTCACCACTGTTTATCTTTTTCAGTCGGCGACAATTATTACCGCGTTGTTTTACATTCCAAAGCTGGGTCTAACCTGTTCTCAATCTCCAGCATTATTCATGACAAAATTTCTGTCAAGCTGATTGGAAGCAAGGGTACTGTGGAAACAGTCCGCCCGAGGTGAGGAGACTGGGTTCAAAGAGGCGTTCCAGCCTCGTTATTCAAACGCGCCGCCATTTTGAAAACTGAAAAGCATCCCATACTTAATGGCCAAGGGAAACAACGATATTTTGCAAGCAGGAAAAAAAGATATGATTGGTTGTACAAACATTGTTGATGATTTTTTTGTCGCCGCCTAAAGCCGTCGATACGATGCGCAGTGTACTAGCTAAAAAAAGTTATGCTTTTTATCTATTACCCTTTTTAATTTGTTCATTTGTTTACTTTCCGCTCGCTTGTACTGGTGTTTATATACATATAGTTAGATATAGCTCTCTGGTATTACAAAGCTTTGCTATCATGCCCAAATTGAGCACTCTACAAGGATGGGTCATGTTGTGCAATTGAGCCATGCTCACTAGTAACTAGTTTGAGCTCTCTGGCATGGCCTAGATGATACCACAAATGCGGAATTATTTGGGGTGGCTATATGGCTTTACTTCTCTCTCTTAGAATCAGTACCGCACTGATAAGGCCCAGAAGGCCGAAACAGTACTGTCTGCAGTTCATTATACACATGTAAATAACTAAATATATATTTCTTTTTTTCCTACTTCATTCTGTTCTTCTTTCCCAGAAGTGTAAAACACGGAAAGGATAGTTTCTTGCTTTCATCAGCTCGCGATATTGGAAAACTGCAATCTGTCGAAGTCCAACTTAATGGATACGCGTCCTTCCTCAAGAAGGTTGTTGTGCACTCCAAGGCAACGAACAAAAGGTGTTGGAAACTAAGAATATCGTTATCAACCTTGAGAGACAAATGTTAGTTACGAGTTTAGAAATTATCTAACAAAGCTTGTTGTGACATTGCCAAATCTTTTAACTGATCTTGTGCTCTTGATACTTTAAGTCGGGTAGTAATATGCAATTTTGTCATTTGAGGGGACGTAGCGGGTGGGGTGTGGGAATTCCAGAACCCTCACACCCTCCCCCTGAATCTGCAACTGACCATGTCACAACAGACTGTGAAAACTTCGCTTTACTCGCCGAGCTTTCGCTCCTAAAAAAATTCGCGAGTTGCTTGATTGATGTGTTCATTGTTTCTAGCGGCACGAAATTTCCCCCTGGGAATAACATTTAAAAGTACAGGTGGATCCAAAAGGAAAAAAAAAGTAATGATTTTTCTAGAGATTCCCGTTCTCAGACTACACAACATTTTACGTTGCCGGTTGACAGGGCTTGCCTGAGAGCTAAAGGGTAGAACTGCTGAATGTATCGTGCAGCTATCGAGAGCACACCATGGTTTATTCATTAACATTTCGCCCTCGGGGGAAGAGCTGTAGTTCAACAGCAGTTTTTTTTTCCTCTCCTTTCCAGATACACTGCGTGTTTCAGGAAACAACTGGGAAGCTACTTCTCTTATCTGATATCTTCTAATTACACCCAGGCCTTCGTGGAAGGGAGACACCGCCGTTGCTGAAAAGGTTTACTATATTTTGAAGTTTCACTGTACTTTTCATGTTCTGTGGATTGTTATAGGTCGTAGCACGCTATTTTTAAAGCCTAAATTATTGCTTTTATCGCTTTTTTCCAGGGGAATGAATGATAATAAGAGCAAACCACGAAAAAAGAGACTAAACAAAGCCTCAAAGTACGAAGGTTGTGTAGCTGCTACCATCATCTATCCAGAAAAATGCGGAACACTAAAACATGCTTTTTAATCTAGCATTTCGCCAGTCAGCTTACATCTCTACTTTGGGCGACTATAGATGCTACATTATCACGCCCTTTTGTTCTCCAATGTGGAAAATATTATTACTAACGTTTGTCTAGGGAAGAAGTAATTTCAGTTAGAGGGATCATGGAGGGGTTTCCGTATTTCAATTTTTTTTCTGATTTTTTTTTTCTCTTTTTTTTTTTCGAATTGCCTGTTTATAACGTAGTATTGGGAGTCAGCTTTCTCCACTTAGCTCGAACAACTTTGAACGCGTAATCGTTGTTCACTTTAATGTCTCAATAAAGAAACTAATGGATAGAGTGAAACTAGTTTTCTATCAACTTGAACTTCACCTGGGAAAGAGTAACCTATGGACATGGCAAGTGGGGCATCTGAAGTTCAAGAGAGCTTTCCTTAGTTATGAGAAAGTGATAGCAGGTTATGACAAAAAAAAAAAACAAAAAAAAAACAATTATCACGGTCCCCAAACCTCCTTCACACCTCCCCCTGTAGATAGAATTCTGCGTAAGCATTAAGAAACTGCTACGTTATAGCTCACCCAAAAGGCAACACCAGGTTCCTATCGAGGTCAACATCAAAGTATCACATAATTTGCCTCTTCAAAAGGGCAACAAATACACTAGCAAGGAAAAATATTTATAGATTCTGGTCTATACTAATACAAATACTATTTCGGTCTCCAATTGAGATCGCAACTGATCGAAAACTTGCAGGAGTTAGAGGCAACGCCGTGAGAGTTTTGAAAATTACCAAACATGCAAGACGAAATTTGCTCATACAAAGAGCTATTTGTTCACTACTAAAATGAAAACATTAAGTGTTAAATTGCGAGTACTTCTTTTACAATTTTCTTTTCTTTCCCCTACTCCACACAAATGCGCTCACTAAATTCGTAATAAGGCAGAGAAATTGTTTATGCAAAAATTAAAAATTTCAGCAACAAAGTTTTCATGAACCGAAAACGAATAAGAAAAAAGTCAAAAGAAAATACTTTATCGTTATACAAATGGGCTGGATCCATCTTAATTTCTTTTCTGATCAAACTCGTTTCCTATGGCGTTTAAATTTTAACGTTGGATTGTGCTCTTAAAATGCTAACTACTTTTTTATATCTTACAGTATCTTCTTTGTACCAGGAAAAGAAAAAACAAAAAACTCGAAACTAAGACTAACATTCATTCAAAAACATTTACACCATGAGTAATAGCGAAGTTATTCACAACAAAACAAATATCTGACTTCCTTAAAAAATATCCCGGCTAGGCAAAATGTAATGACAACATTTTTTGATAAAAAGAAAACAAATAGGATTTGCCGTGAATGTCAACCTTCATTCCGATTTTTCTGAAACTTTTCGCACAACTTTCCTCATCAGGTCTCTACGAAAGAAAAGAAAAGTGGAAAAATGGAATTAAAAGAATAAACTTGCCAAGTATTCTTCAAGGTCTGTTATTGAAGGCATACTCATAAACGTTACAAACAAACGTGTTAAAATAATATCCAAACTATATACCGAATACAAATATGGCGTCCAATTTGAATTGCCATTGTTCTAGACTGACTAGCCTCGTCTTCACGTGGAAACACAAAAGAATCATTACATGTGTGAGAGGCTAGTCAGTCCAGAACAATGGCGATTCAAATTGGATGCCATATTTGCATTCGGTGTATAACCCAAGGGCATTTTTAAAACCTTCGACTAGACTTCGCCAGACTGCTTTACAGAGATGATCAAATTAGATGCGATTAAAATGGATTACAAACCTGATAAGATTGAGCTTTTCCTCCATTGATTCCCAGTGACGCCTTTCATCGCTATACTCCAACATCTCTAAACGGAGGCGGAAAACAAAAAGAAATTCAGGCCGAATGGTACTTTTTTCCAAATTTGCAGGAGGCGGCCTGGCCAACTAACTGGTTAGGGTGCTGGACTTGTAATCCGGTGTCCCGGGTTCAAGTTCTCCACCCTGCCACTTGCTGGATTTGTTCTCGGTTGCCCCGAGTTCAACTTTCTCGGTTGCGCTCTATAAATAGCCCACTGGTTTGCCTCCCGCCAGTGGGATTTTTGAGCTCTTAGTTAGTCTACATTGTGGCTGAAAAGCCCCTAAAGGGGAGCTTCAATTTATATATTTATTTATTATCTATTTATTTCTATTCACTCGTGGCAAAGTAACACCGACGTTGCACCGAAAGGTGTTTCAATTGTCACGAAGAATTTCTTTCCTATATCAACACAAAAGCTGCAAACCTTTGGCCAGTTCTGTTTCACTGACTCTGTCACCTTCCTTGTAGTATTTCATCCTTAAATTCTGAAAGACAAAAATTTGAAGCTTGATCTTTTGTTCTCTATAGTTGTTGTCACTGTTGTTGCTGCTACGCTGTTCAAGTCCTGCACAGCGGTCATTGTTGAAAAGGGGGTAGGTTTCTAAAGAAACTGTGGTGTGTCACACACAACCTACAATTCCTCCATTCGCTCTGACGAAGGGCTAACGCTCGAAACATCAGCTTTGAAACTCTTTACGGAGGCCAAGTTCCATGATTAATTTAGTTGATAAAACCAAAATTACCTTATTATTAAAAGGTAACGCATCTGAGTTTTTAATACCTTAATGAAACTAGAAACGGTTTAACAATCTTAAAAAATGTCATCTTCATTTTACAAGTTCGTCGAATGTAATCTGTCTTAATCCTTGCAATCCTTTGTCATTCGAGTTCCTTCGTGTTCAATTATTGCCTCCTCGGTTTTTTCCAATCTGACCAAACTAGCATTTCGTTGTCTCCTTTAAGTTGAGGTTAATTTTTCATAGTGCAATGTCTCAAGATATCGTAGAGTTCTATTCCTTCAAAGTTTGCAAAAGTCTACAGGGACCATGAGCAAACGTTCAAACAAAAACAATATGAAAGACAAAGTAACAAAGCTAATTATGAAGTGATAACAATTCTAGAGGCACTTACAAATCTGGGAAATCTGCTCTGTTCCAGGCGAGTGACAATTCGCATTCGATCGATTGCATACTGCAGCTTTGCGTTACTTTTGGCTTCGCTGTATGTGTAACTCAACTGTGCGATAAGAACATTGAGCAGAATCACAATCACCATCGCCATGTAGGCTAAGAGAATGAGTATCGCTAACCAGCTGAAATCAAGAAAGAAACAGAGCACAAGTTAGGCTTTTTGTTGTAGTTGAAAGAACCTCTTCCAAGAGGAAGCTGAAAATTGAAGCCACAACATGTAAAATAGCACAGGAGAATTCCTCCTTTCTTTCTTCTGGATTCATGAAAAAAATGCAACAAAATCAACAAGACAATAACAATAACATTTATTATTTGTATTGCGCCTTTTCTATAAAATATTCAAAAGACAAACCAATCAAAAGCCAAAAAACCAATGCAACATTCTATAACTATAACAAGACCTTGAAAAATAACGTGACCTAAATATCTCGTTCGGGGTGGTTATAGCAACATGCCGTAATTTTTGACCAATCAGAGCGGCTGCGCGTACATTTTTTTAAGCATCTGAGAAAGTACACTAACAGTAGTTGATGTGATGGCCAAGAATCTACATCAAGTTTTGGATCGAATCCTTGTAGCTGTCATTACGTTTAGTCATCGCGTCTGAAAAAGTCTCGTGATGCGAGAGTACAATGGGACAGATCACTTATGGAGACGAAAACGTTCATTACCTAAACTTGGAGTAGTCTTCTTCAACTGGTTGTTGTTCAGCAAGGGCTCGAACGGCAGCCAACATTAACCAGGCGTAATTACTGTTAAAAAAAAAGATAAATCAATTTCTAATAAGTAGATAACTTTCGCATAGCTCGTAAACTATTTGGTTTCAAACGGATTCTCGAGGACTTTCGTCACTTAAAGTCAATTTACGCAACCTCTCGTGCACTCTCATAGTTTAAACTGTTTCTCTCGTAAACTCTTATCGCTAGAAATAGTTTCTTGTGGAATTTTGCCACTTCTCGCAAATTTCCGTGAGCTCTTGTGAACTATTGTGCATGTATTAAGAGAAGAGTGCCTGTTCTAAATGCTGGGGAACAGACCAATCATTAGCAAAAATCTTACGTGAAAAGCTCTTGCGAGCCTGTGGCTTTAAGCGCCATAAACATGGCGCCACAGAATCCAATGAACACGACCAGAAACACCACACTGAAACGAGTCATGTCGCGGTAGATGATCTTGGCGAGAGTCTTGGTGTATAGACCTGTAGTTCTTGGAAGAAAAAACTATTAGTCACACAGAAAAGAAAGAAACCATAAAAAAGTAATAGAAAAATCTGAGACTTGCGTTTGAGAAGTTAGTTGCAGTTTTGCCAGCTGAATTTAACTCGATCCAGCGCTGTTACTCCGACTCGACTGGACCATAATTGGGCATGGTCGGACAGTTAAAACGAGGAATTGTTACTAAAATATCACATTCCTACTTTGAATTGAGGAGCAATAAATTGCATGACCTATTTTCGTCAAAAATGAAATCATTCAGAATTGCAGTTCCTCGCGCAGTTCACAGATATGATTTTCCTAGATTTACAGTCGAATAAAAAATGTATTATCACTGAAGGGGCATTTAAAAAACTAATGATCGCAAAGAGGTCATGCTATTCTCCCCAATTTCAACTTCAGGTTATGTTGTTTTAAGTTTGAGGCTGCAATCCAAAATCTTAACACCACTATATTATACTTAACGAGCGACTGAACGAGGGTTTGTTTACGAGTGTATTTGCAGAAGTTTAGTGAGGCCTTAATCTCAAAGTTCCCTCGGATCACCTCACCCCATCAAGGCTGGGTGAGTTTTCCACAGGCGGCCACATTTTTCCACTACCGACATGAACAAGGCGGAAGAGGAATGTGTTTCTACAATTGTTCCAAGGACTGCTCGTAGATCGACAAATCATGAATACCTTGTAACGCACGAAAACTTGAAGAGTCGAAGAAAATTAAACAAATAACCGAGGGCTGCCACGCTCCACTGATATTTCACTTCAGCAAATCGAAGAGGAATCACAAGAAACGTCAAGATTAGACCCGACCAATCAAAATAATTGTACGGATCTTTGAAATAGGTACTCCATTCCCTAGAATATAAAAATTAAATTGAGTTTAGGTTTTACCGATATACAATCAAATGGCTCCATCTGCATCACGTGTTAGAGTAGACTAAGGCAATTTTCCATTCACAAAACGTTATTTGTTGATTTGTAAAGACTGAAAGAAAACGAAACACACACAAAAATTAACCTCACCGTTCTGCTTCGTTGACCTCTTCGAAGAAGTAAAACATAAGAAAGATTATGGTGATAACTTCACAGAACAACCGCAGACCGTCCGCTTTACCGCTGTACTGTGTTGGATCGTCGAGAGTGGAGGCGTAGATCAGTGCGTAAGATAACAGTGTTAAAAACACAATGTAGAAAGACGCTTGAACGCTGAAACGGAAAATGATAACATTGGTCGAAGTGGTAGTACACCTGTCGGGAAAGCTACTAGCGTTACCGGCGAGACACAGTTGCCCGGGACGCCAAGTCTGACTTGAAGTCAGTCTTTGCTCCTCGACCCTATACCCCAAGAATTAAAAATGGCTACCTCACATTTCTAGAATTTCTGAGCAGTTGTTTGTCTAAAAACAAAAAAAATAGACAGTTAACTCCAAGTTTCATATACGTAATTAATTTCCGCAATAGCCCTACGCTAATTTCAAATATGGATTCCTCGGGGAGAACGCTAATTCAAAATTCTTACCAAAACCACCAATGACCAAAGGTGTTCCATTTTGTCATAACCAACATTCGTACCACAGGATGTTGTATCGCCTCCTACGAGGACAAAAGAAAGTAGCAGGCATTAACCAGGTTTTCGTGTGTTACTTTGCGATAATCACGGAAGAGGTTCACAATAGAATAAAGAGCAATTCTCCATTGAGAGTCCAAAGATATGCGGAGTTTTACTGGTTTTACTATACTTCGCTCTGTGATTGGTCCAGAAAACTCGCACCACCCTCTTGAACAATCAGATGCAAAGCGTAACTCAATGGAAACTTGGACCTTGCATTTTCCCGCGCTTCTTGTTTCATTTCTAACTTGAGCCCTCATTGGCTTCTTGAGACTTTTCCCTTTGCTCTGATTGGCTGTTGTGCTTACTATGGTTTTGTCCTTGCGACACTCAAATGGTTATCTTCTTGCGACATTCAATCTCTGTTGCGTTACCAATGGGAGAGACACTGCCCACAAATGAAACCCTTCGGAGTACACAAAGATTACTATATATAGCCAGCATATTGTCTTGCGCAATAAGAGGTTCAATACAGTGGCTTGGTACGGCCTAAGATGATGAGAACATGAACTCAACTGGCGCATTTTTGGCACCACTTTGAGCATTATATATATGCAAAATATATATAATGATATATATATATTACATCCAAACAAAATATATCTATATTTTGCAAAAATTATTTGTCGGTCGCGAACTGTTGCATCCTATGGAGATAAATATAAAGGTTTCCGGGGTCGATCACTTTAAATTTCGTTGGAGATCTATTTCTTTAACAAATTTATCGCTAATTTTGACACATCTAGAATTCAAACATGGAAAACAGTCTGCCCACATTGTCGCTCGATTAACAGAAAGATGTTTTAGTATAGTATATACTTATGGGGGCTGACCTCGCTGGGACCTCGAGTCCGTACGTTAGTCCTTCATTTAGTACTTGTTTTCTATTCTTTTTATCATTATTCTTTGTCACTAAATGGAAGTTACTATAAATAAATAAATAAATAAATAAATAAATAAATAAATGAAGATCTCATGACAGTAAGCTACTTAACAGTGAAGTTTTCGACCCACAGACAAACTTGTGCGACCTTGTGATCAAATTAAGTTGAGTCAGTCCTAAAGAGATTTCTTCTTCCCAGAAATACCGTATACCGCTGATGAAAAATAGCTTGAGAAAACAAACACAAGCTCAAAAAAAAAAAGCTCACATTAAGTCCTCAGACACAACTTCAAATCGGCGACAGAGGTACAGAAGAAGAGAAACACAATCAAAATTCACCGCGTACAAGTTTATCGATCACTATGGTCTCATGAGCGACGTGACAAATATGAAGGTCACCTAACAACTGCTCTGGTAAGTTTGGAATGAAACCGAATTTATTTCAACAAAAACAAAAACCACACTTGCTATCTCAGCCTTTGTAGCTCAGTGGTTAGAGCACTGGTCTTGTAAACCAGGGGTCGAGAGTTCGAGTCTCTCCGAGGGCTTCAATCGATTCTTTTTTTCTTTAAATTCTTTTTTACGGGGGTAAGGGTGGATCATATCTTCGCTTGGTAAGCCTTCTTGCGTGTTCGTATGAAAATCTTCACATGAGAAACTTATCAGTACAGAGTAAAAACAAGTTCAAAAGTGTAAATTTTCTTGGAAAGAGGAGGAACAGGTTCTGGAACTCTCCTATTACTTCAGTAGTTTATTGCTGTCATGTCTCCTTTTCTCAGCAATCTTCATATTCATCTTCTGTCCTTTCATTCCTCTATTCCCCTTCCCTCCAATAATACTTTGGACATTCACCCTTTGTAAACCCTCTGTCTACCTTCCAATAAACCAATTTCCAACTAACTGTGGAAATTAAGAAACCCGGGATCGCATTGGTTCTACTTAGCTTTGACCTGTGCGTGATTGGTCCAAAAAAACGCACTACTCTCTTAACCGATCAGATGCAAAACTTAAGCCAAACACGCATTGGTCACCGCGATCTCCAGCGTTTTAGGTAGTTTTCTTGTTTTTACTTTGTGTTTTTAATTGGCTTTTTAAAATAGTGTAGTTTTCGCTTGCCTGCGCTCCCACTCTTTTTACTACTGATTGAGAACCTGGAAAAGGCAACGCCTCTCTTTCAGAGCGGGATCGGAGGGAAGTGGGGGAGGGGGGGGGGCTGGAATTTGCAAAATTACTGCAGCCAAACATTGTATTCAAAATGACGTATTGCTCACCAAGAGCACACAGCACGTTTCACGGTATGAAGTCTTGATGTTACCTTATCATCACTTTCTGCAATGCATCGGAGAGACGAAATCGACTTTGGATCAAACTGTTCATTCAAGGTCCTCTCAGCAATCTTTGGTTCCCTTCCCAGGTCATCGGCTTCCAGCAGATGATAGAAAAAATCATAATTCAGTGGATCGTCAGGAACACTGCTCCATGCCCTCTCAATACGATCACTTTTCTCTCCTGTCTCTTTTATCTTTTCGGGAAGATATGGCCAGTGAGGGTTGACAAGCTGATCTAATACAGCCACCACTGTTTTCTTGGGAAAGGAAAATGAAAAGGAAACTGCTTACTTTTGAGAGACTTTGAGGGAGAAATCGCTACCTAATGCTAAGAGGTCCATGTTTAAGGTCAACTTGTGGTGTTCTTGGACAAAACACTTCACTGGCACATTTTCTAATACCACACCCTGGAGATTTAATGGGTACCAAATGAACTGGTGGAATTATGGAGGGGAGAGGCAGTAACTGGAATGAATAGCCAAGCATGCTGTCCAGGGAGGGTACTGTAGCAATATTCATGTGTTTTTTTTTCTTTTTTTTACACTTTGTCATTGATTAAGAGGTACGAGGCTTAGGTATTTGTCTCAAGTGCAGACTGGTCATCTGTTCCTGAAGAGTTGGTTACTTCTTTGATTTGTTAACTCTTGACTCCCTGAAGGGATTAACATATAACTTCACCCTACAATATCCATACATTGTCCAGGAAACAGGCTATGAGAATACTCAAACTCCTGTTAACTGTAGATGTAGAATTTTATATATTCGAATGTATTTGGTACGGGACCCTGGCTCATTGTACATCTCGAACTGAAATAAACCTACCTACCTACCTACCTACCTACCTACTCTGGCAGAAGTTGTTACCTTGATCTAACACTTCATTTTTGTAACTTATTTACAAGGAAATGTGTAGCAGCTAAAGCAGAGACTTAACAATCAGATCTTGGAAGCTGAAGGGTGAAAAAAAAAAGGGATAAAGGGGTGAGGGAACAACAAATTCATTTATTCACAGGCACTACTTACCTTCATGTCCAGTTTGTTTGTTTCTGGATTTCTATGGCTGATGATCTCCTTAAAGTTGAATTTGGCTCGCTTCAGGTCATCATCGAACAAAAACAGTTCATGGACCCTGAAATATAAAATCAAAATATGTAACCAGTAAAATACTTTTTCAAGAACACAACATATTCATCCAAACCTTGGAAATTAGTCATAAATTTTAAACCCTGCCGAAAAAAGTCTAGTCTTTAATGATGATGAAAAAATAATATAAGTTAAAAGTTTTACATAGCACTTTTTAATCATCACGTGTGGAGGCGCAGTGGCCTCATGGTTAGTACGCTCGACTCAGGATCGAGTGGTCCGGGTTCAAGCCCCAGCCGGGACATTGTGTTGTGTTCTTAGGCAAGACACTTTACTCTCACAGTGCCTCTCTTCACCCAGGTGAACAAATGGGTACCGGAAATTTAATGCTGGGGGTAACCCTGCGATGGACTGGCATCCCATCCAGGGGGGAGTAGAAATACTCCTAGTCGCTTCATGCTACAGAAACCGGAGTTAAGCACCAGCCTAATGGGCCACTAGGCTCGTAAACAGACTTTACCTTATTAATCATCATGTGGGTCCTTTTTCCAAATTATTTTGTTTGATCATAAAATCAAGTTATGATGCAATCGAGAAATCAAGTTTTCCCTTTAAGAAATATTTCCACCTTACAAATTTAAACAAGGACTTTATCCTTAAATTTCAAATTTAGAGTCCTATTAAATTAAAATACATGTGCTGTGTATGATGCACTCCCTTTCTAACAATTTTTAAAAATTCAATAACTTTTTTAAGTAAATTAATAATTTAAGACAATCAAGCCGTGAATGTTAATAAAATCAAATGTTTTCAACCAGAAGGATAAAATAATAAGGGAAAAAAATTTCCAAACAATAGTAGTGACATCACATAATTTTAGTTTAATTTAATATTATACTTTTATCCTACATCACAACACAGACAGTGGGTTCTATACTGACCAGTCATGTTTCATCTGTGATATCAGATATGCCGCTGTTTCATCCCTGTGTGACATCAGAGCCTTTTCAACTGGTAAAAATGGCCTATCATCATCCACTTCCTCTGTTTCTAGGTAAACAAGTGAGGGGTACTTTTTAACAAGCAACTTTGCCACATGAAGGAAATTCTGTTCTGCAGCCAAGTGAAGCAAAGTTGGACGAGCTGGGTCTTCTTCCACACGGAAATACTTGTACTCTTCATCACTGTCCTTGTCTAAAATAATTTCAGTGAAACGGCTAATCTGTGAAGAAGGAAGTATAATGTAAGTTACACGCACCTTTTTCAATTCTCATAATGATTGCACATGCTGACTTTCACAAGAAAAAAAAACAACAGGTTGGTTTTTCTTCACAATCAGACAAGTCTTGCTGGGTTTTTGTGACATGTGATTTTACCAAATGAGGTGATTAAACACCCCTCTTCAAGTAATTATCGATATCTCTTGAATGACACTGCCCTTCAATGTCATCAATTTTTAACGTCCTTATCTGAGTTCAACCTGTACGTGCTATAACATGTTATGTTCTTCACAAAGACAATTTACCCTCAAGGGGTGTGTCTCTGTTTAGGAAAATAAATGATTGCTGGCAATTAAACTACTACACCAGAGACACCTGATAAAAATGCTGGAAGCTTGAGCCTACTGTGGACTTAACAGCAGTACTGCAGTTGTAGCTTCATGCAAATGAAAGCTGCACAAGCTCTGACAGTTCAGGGCTTTTGGCAAGTAAGATGTCTTTACCACACCATAAATACACTGGTACAATGTAAATACAGCCCACATAAAAATAATAAATACTACTCTTGCAAGCTTTGTCTATCCTTACCAGGTATTCTAGACTTGCTATCAGTTCTGGTTTGTCTTTATACTTTTCACTGATTGGCCAGTCACGAATGATCACCAAGAGGGTGTCTTTGCCATGTTTGGCTATCAGTCTGTCGATGCGAACCTCATCCATGGCTCTATTCCATGACACATCTCCTGAATTAAACTTTTCTTGTACCTACAAAGTGGTTAAAATAAATTTCAAAGGTAAAATCTGTTCACTTGCTATATCTGTTGCCATATGTGTGCTCTGGAGAAGAGAGATGTACAAAGCAAGCTTTAAGTCTGCTGACAGAGATTCATGATTTTTAGAATTAATCAGGGACGAAATCACTGCAACAAGCTGCTAGGACTCACCCGTTTTAAGATTTACATCAATTTACATAAAGCAACTTGCATGATTTTCTTTGTTGAAACTGCTTTACTTTTTTACACCCTAACATCAGTATTTATATTCTCCAGACTGTTCTCTTAACATTCCTACATGTATGTTCTGTCATGGAGAATTTGTTTCACAATACTTAATTCTTATTAACTGAGCGGGAGGTCTGTATGGGAGAATCTTGACCGAGGTCGCAAGTACAGACCGAACTGCGTTCGGTCTGTACCAGCGACCGAGGTCAAGATTCTCCCATACAGACCGACCTAGCTCGATAATAAGATGTTTATTATATGGCTGTATCTTATATGCCAATTAACTTTTATATTCTTTGTACTTTTTTTTCTAGACCAGTCTAGATGCCGGTCTAAATGGGAAAATCTAGACCACTTTCAATATTGATTTCAGCCAATCAAATTCGTGAATTCGGTAGTTCCCAGTCCTTGTGAGACACAGTCATATAATAAAGTACTATACAGTTCTGTTGTCTAATTTTTAAATATAGACTAGTGAGCAGCACTTCTGCGAACAGTAGTTGTAAAACTTCTTTCATTTTCCGACGCATTTCGTCTAACTGTCATAGACTTTTTCAGGGAGTTTTACAAGTATAACTAAACGCCAGTATTTATAAGCCAAAGTTACAGGGGCCGATGACCGTAAAGGCTTGGCCAGACTTACGAACAGGAACAGGCGAAGTTGTGAAAATTTGTGAAAAATTTAACCCGTGTAAGGCAAGGTGAGAAAAATATTTTGGGGGCCATGGTTTTAGCTACTTCGCCTGTTCCTGTTCATAAGTCTGGCCAAGCTTTTATGGTCATCGGCCCCCGAAACTTTAGCTTGTAAATACAGGC